TTTGATTTCAGAGACCCCCTCTTGGTTTCATTGGCTTGCACAGAATAGGCCCCAAATATATCTCCATGACCAAAACAAATAAAATAAAATTAGATTAGACATAGGGTATGTCTACACTACTCCACTAGTTCAAACTAGCGGGGTAATGTAGTCATACCGCACTTGCAAATGAAGCCCGGGATTTGAATTTCCCGGGCTTCATTTGCATAATCCGGGCGCCGCCATTTTTAAATCCCGGCTGGTTCGAACCCCGTGCCGCGCGGCTACACGCGGCACGAACTAGGTAGTTCGAACTAGGCTTCCTAGTTCGAACTACCGTTACTCCTCATTCCAATAGTTTCCAATTTTTAGACTAACCAGTGTCTATGCTTATAACATTACTCTGAGCACAATCTGAAATGTGGACTAAAATCTTCATTTTTACAGATGGGGAATTAAGGCACACGGGATGACTTTCCCAATGTCACAAAAGACATCTAGGCAAAACAGAGAACTGAACCCCAATCTTCTAGACTAGTAGCTTGCTGCTCACACTAAGGGTATGTCTACACTACCCCGCTAGTTCGAACTAGCGGGGTAGTGTAGACATACCCATAGTGTTTACCTTTTTTTGGAATATGGCCTAATGATGAATAATTGAAAAATTGCAAAATTACCAATAAAAAGAAAATCCTAGTTCACCATTAACTCCAGAGATGCTATTAGTGCCTTCATAATACTGTGCATATATTAGAATGTAATTTTGGATTTCCTGCTGCATATTCTCATTTGTAGAACAGGATTTTAGGAATTTTCTGGGAAGCAGTGCCCATTGTGGTTGCACAAGATTCCTCTTACAGCTCTTGATGCTGTGAGATGAGGTTTTGGAAGGGGTTGTGTGACCCTAGATGGTTCTGTTACTTCTTTTTCACAAGCTTCAGGAGTAGCCAAGTTAGTCTGTACACAGGATAAACTTAAAAAACAACAAATAGTCTGGTAGCACTTTAAAGACTAACAAAAAATGTAGGTGGTGGTATGAGCTTTCGTGAACTCAGCCCACTTTTTCAGCTGTGCCCATGAAAGCTCATGATACTATCTACGTGTTTTGTTGGTCTTTCAAGTGCTACCAGACTATTTTTTGTTTTTTAAGTTTATTCTTTTTCACAGTCTTCTACAGATGTAAGGTCATTTTCTCCTTGTCTGTAACAGTGTCTTTTTCTAATGAATATAAAGCTCTTTATTTCAATGTGGTGTTAATTTAGTTAGCTAGCTAGTAAGTGTCAGGCAATTGTATATAATTTTATAAGGGACCTAGGCCATTATATATATTTTGGTCATGAACAGTCAGGCCTCTGAGAACTTAAATAACGAGGGTGGAATCAAGTGGGGTTATTTCGTGTTCTTCTTCCCTGTTCCCAGATGCAGATCAGCATTCTTGCCAGATGTTCTGTTTGGGGAAAACCTATTTCCTGATTTGTTACTTGATGTGTAGGGCTTTTCCACCTTGACTATACACCATTGGGCAGATGAGGCTCTGTGCATTCCTCATGGAGAACAATTACAAGCCTGGCCATGGATCTGATATCATCAGATCAACCATCTGCCCTTGTGATTGGACAGAATCTGCTACTTTCAGCGTCAAACAAGTCAAGTCAGATGACACAGGCACTAAAGAAGTTAGTATGACAGATTCAGATATGTGGCTGTAGTGCCTAAAATCTTTTTAGGCCCAGAGGCTTCATTGTCAGGGAGAATCTCAGCACAATGTTCTGTGCCAGAATTTCAATGATACCAAGCCTGATTTTTGCCTCTGGCAAGAGCCCCTCTGAGCAAGTGTCTCATTGGTGATGGGTTATGTAACCTGACACAAAGTTGTAATAATTCATCTCCACATTATGCATCCCCATAATCTATTCTGGATTATTTCTTGCGTTTGGTCTCTCATCCTCTCCTTGTCTTCTATCTGGGTGAGTCTGTCTGAAACTCCAATGTATAATTTGCAAGTGGACAGTTCTAAATTTTTTCAGTCACTCACCACCACAAGACTCATAAAAATAACCATTTCCACCAAGATCCCTTAAACTAGTGCTTGCAAAGTTGATGTGCTCACTAAGCCCTTGGGAGTACAGGCAGTCCCCGGGTTACATACAAGATAGGGACTGTAGGTTTGTTCTTAAGTTGAATCTGTATGTAAGTCGGAACTGGCTTCCAGATTCAGCCGCGGCTGAAACTGACCGCCAGTTCTGACTTACATACAGATTCAACCTACAGTCCCTATCTTGTACGTAACCCGGGGACTGCCTGTATATATTTAAAAAAATAATATTGGTTAGCTAAAGACATTTTCTGCAGTACGGATGAAAATTAATGTCTGAATTGTAGAATGCATTGAGCTGTTTGATGGTTCATTAAGGAGTGCATTACCATTGTATATCACTGAAGATCATTTTTATTAAATTAAAATCAGTTGGGGCTCACTGTCATAAACTTTAACCAGTTCTACAGGGGAAAGTATAAGCTGTTGAATAAAATTAAGTATTTTTTCAAAAGTCATGTTTTAAGTCTTAACTTTAGATATATATTAATGTTAGTGTCTTAGACAAATACAGTCTATTGAATATTTAATAAAAAGTGTGGAAAGGCCCAGTTTTAATAATTTTATAATCAACAGTAGGTGAAAAATGTAACAGTGAAGAAACAAAGTAGCAGGATTCAGTACTCTAAAATCCATTTTAAATATATCCACTTGGATATTTATTTTTTAAAACAAGCTTAGAACAAAAATGTGATATATCTGCTTTAAAAATGGGAAACAAATTAATTGTTTTGAAACAACTTTACATTTAGCAATGAAAACTAATAAAGAATGACCATAACATCTTAAAAATCAAACCAAAGTTTTGCAATCTTTCAGAATAAAAAAGAGGACACAGTCTGACTATGGAGGCAGTTTTCACTTCTTCATTATAGGGCTGGTATGTCTCTAGTGCCTCCTGTGGTGACTGTGGGGAAATTCATTCCGAGACACACCGCGGTCCCGCCGCCTGGGTCCTCCGCGGCTTTGCTCTGTGTCTTCCTGGTCTGCAGACCAGGGAGACGCGGAGAAAGCCCCGGAGTACACGGGCGGCAGGACCGCGAGGTCCCGCAGTCCGTGTCCTCCGGGGCGAGCCCCGTTTGTAATTGCAGATCCGACATAAGTCGGATCCGCGTAAGTCGGGGACTGCCTGTACTCCCCCCATTCCATTTGCCTCTAGGGACAGTGGACAAGATCAGATGATGCAAACTGGTGTAGTTGAAAAAAATGAGATGGAGTATAATTACCATAGCTCTGAACATTCAAAGCTGTGATGCAGTGCTCTTGTGCTTGTTGCAACCACTGCCTTACAGCTGAGAGTGCATCCACCAGGTCTTAGCATATGGAAGCAACTTTCAAAGAACCACAATTTATATAAGTAACCTCCCTCCTCTACAAATTGTGTTCTTTGTGAAGTCATGCATGTATCACTTAACGTTTGTTTTGCATTTGTTCTTTAGATTGTTAGATTTGGCTCTGTATTATAGGTATTTTATGTCAAAATTAAAATGCTGCTCTAAACTGCTCCTGATTAAATTGTTTCATCTCTCTGCATAGTTCAATTATGAGAGGAACAATGTACCCAAACTCCATTCACCAGGGTACATTCATTATGTAAGACCTTTAGGCCAGGGAGTTTTCTTTTTATATATATGTATATATATTAAGCTAGCATGTTGTGGGCATTTGCCATGAATATGTAATAAATAATTATTATAATAATGAAATATCATTAATGCTTCTAGCTGGAGAGCAATATATTACAGCTTTCCCTTCCAAAATTAGTCACTTAAATGTATGTAATGTAATCTGGTGTAATTACATCAATAGGTTGTGGTGGCAGCATAAATCAAAAACAGTGCATTTGTGTTTCATCACCAGAAGCCCAAGATGGAATTGCCTGTGCATATTTACATTTCTTTGGTAGCATATTTGTTGCTGTTGTTAAATAAGAGTTTAAACTGCTTCCATTTGTAAAAATTTTTGTTTATAATTTTATGTTTCAGAAAGTGATTAATACTATTGTGATGTCCTGTATTATTGTAACGTTTATGTTTGCTCTTAGAATTTTCAAAAGTAAAACTGGACGATAGTAAAGTATCTCTAAACTGTTTTTAAGAGAGAATCAAACCTTGTAGTGTTGTCTGGGCATCTAAGTCCCAGAAGCACTTTAAAAGCTGATGGTGGGCACTACAAGGGAAAAAAGGAGAAAAGATGTTGCAAGATGTTCCTGTGGAGGAAGAAAATGTAGACTAGCCACAAGGGGTCAAGGACATGACTGGAAGATCTATAAATGTTGCAGATGGAAAAAAAAAGTGTGTCTAACAGAGTAAACGTGCTACTCTTTCTATAATCTACTTTAGGAGCTATAGCCTCTGTCTAGATATCCTGGTCATTGGGGCCAGGATGACTTCATAAAAGAGCAAAGCTCAAATAAAAAAGATTTTGCTGGATTTCTAAAGATTTGGCCCCAAATATTCACCTCTTTTATGTGTGTTTGTTTTATGCCAAATGGACTATCAAGAGAGGAGTGGAAAGATGGTCTTACAGTTATTGTGGTGGATGAAACTGGTTTCTTCATATGTGTAATAGAGATGATAATACTTCCCGAAAACATGGTTGTTTTGGTGATAGATAACAACTGAGAACTTTACAAACATTAATTCAAATGCTTGAAAAAGAGAGAGGCAAACAAGTACCTATATATAATATGTCACCTACCCATGTGTTGCAATATATCTGTACCTGCTGGAAAGCAGGTGGGAATGTTATAGACATTAGCAGGAGCAGGAAAATATGCAATTTATTTTCAATAGAATACTTGTGAATTTCACATAAGTTTCTGCTATTTGTTAAGAATCTGATTTGTTTTTATGAACAAAAAAATCTGTTTACATAAATTTTTGCTTATTATATCATCTCTCTTCTTCTTTCTAATGTAATTCAGGTGTAATGTCTTTGCTGAGGCCTCTTCTGTTGGATGTGGTCCCAACTATTCAACAGACTGCTGCTTTGGCACTTGGGAGACTTGCCAATTATAACGATGACCTGGCAGAGGCGGTTGTTAAGGGAGACATTCTTCCACAGCTTGTATATTCATTGGCTGAACAGAATGTAAGGAATTTTTATTTGCTTACACAATTTAACTGCCAGTAGAAAAAAAAACTTAATGGACTGTCTTGACTCTTAGTGCAGTAGTACATGTATTGAAGTTACGTACAGCATGTGTAATGATCTTTCAGTAGGTCAAAATGTACTGTACTCTAACACAATGAGACTTTTAAAAGTTCTTATTCTTAATTCATGATTTATAATCTGAAGTGTTACTGAAAGGATTTGTAGAAGACTGATTTAAAAAAATTACAATCAGAAATGCTCTACTGATAATTGGTTAGTTTCTTTTAATTCTGAATGCTTATAAAATTAACATAAATTGAATTGCTGTTATCCTGCTGTTAATATTTCCAAACACAAACATTTGGAAACTTGTATAGCACAAGAAATATAAAATGAAATTATTGACACAGTACAATACATAAAAATAATTTGATCTGCTTGTTTGTCAAATAAAATGTCCTTTGATATAGCATTAATATATCTGATGGACTCCCCCTCACTTTTCCTACAGTTTTTGGATGGATTCTAATTTTAGGATCCTAACTTAGATTAACTGCAGTGTTTTCAAAGATGGTACCTAGAGATTGGAAAATACAGAAATTTGAGAGTTATAGTATGACTATAATTCTCATTTAACTGCCTTTAGATTGTAGTTTTATTGTTTGAAATTTAGACAAGTTATAATATCAGTGCTTATCACTGAAATGAAAGTACATAGTTTTTAATCTTTTGAGAACTCAAAAGTAATCGCTAATCAAATAATATTTTCATAGCTGATTAATACGTCTACAGTCATAACAAAAGTATGTATTTTGTTATTGAAGGGAATCTCCCGTTCATTCTAAAATATGTATACAGTATGGAAGCAAAAGTAGGACTTAATAGACAAAGTTATAAATAATTTGGTTATTTAACTATATTTTAAAGATAGAAAATTATGGTCTCTGTTTTTTTGATGTTACACCATTCATTTCATAGCAGAAACTATACAAGGTTAGCCTAGATGTCTTGACTTATCTTTTCCATTTAAGTGTCTGTCTTGTCAATGCATCCAGGAGACAGCTGTGATTCAGAATCACTTGGGGCATCAGCAAGATTAGTATGAGGTCACGGAAGGCCTACCGTGCTTTCGTGACTGAGGGCAAGTGAAGGAAACTAATTATCCAGTTCATACAGAGTTTAGCAAGACATGCAAGTAATTTGTTAGTTCCTATGGGCAACTCCCTGTGCATTCACTTTATGCATCAGTATAAAAAAGGATCTGATCCTGTGAGCACTCCTTAAGTTGAACTTCCATTGATTTGTACGTGTGCAGAACTTACAGGATCAAGCATCAGATCAATGTTTTGTCATAAAAATGGAATGGAAAAAAAAAAGGTTTTATAGACATTGGTTTTGTGAATGCTTTATTTTAAAAACAACGTATTATGAATAAGAATAAACCCTACAAAAGCATCTCTTCCCATAATAAAACAAGAATAATGCACATGCACATGCATGTGCACATGCACACATAGAGAGGTGTACATTGGGGCAGATCCTCAGCTGGTGTAAACTGGGGCAGATCCTAAGCTGGCAGTTTATACCAGCTTAGGATCTGCCCTTTCATGGGTATATTATTCCTATTAAATTATACTTTGGCCAGAGAGACATATTTTAGGGTTATTATTATTATTCACAATATCTTTTTCATTAAAAGCAGCCTATTTTTCTCAAGGGCCCCATTTTGGGAGGAGGGGACAACAGCCATGCATGCTAGGACACTACTTGCTCTTCTTCCCCTTCCCCTCATTATGAGGGAGCAAGGGGAAAGTACACAGCTTGCATGCATTCTTCTTACTCCCAGCTGGTGAGGGGAGAGAGTAGAAGATTAAATGACACAAACTGTGTACTTTCCCCTCAGTCCTTCAGGGGAAGGAGAAGAGCAAGCAGTATACTGATATATTTGGCTGTAGCCTCCCTGCTTTCCCAAAATGGCACTCTTGATTTTCTATTTCAGAACCTGGTCATTCTGCCACTGAAATCTCAGAGAATACTGCCATTTTTACTTCATTGGCTTTTAGGCTAACATCTCTTAGTGTTCACTTAGGGGCCATAAGGCCTACTGGGCTTGTCACAGCTCATCAGTTTCCAAAGTCCTGAGGTAGGAAGCCTTGTCAGGCAGTCTGAGAGCCTGGTATCTAAGTTACAGTATGTCCTTCTCTGTGTTGCTTCAATTTGGGCTAGGAGCAGAAGGAAGAATAGGGCATATTCTGCAGCTGTTGAGGGATGAGCCCTTCTTGGTTTGGTTTCACTATTTTACTCTTATTGAGGAATCTATAAAACCCATCACAATAGGCATATAGGAAATGTTGGTCTGCAGATCCCTTACTATAACTTGTGCTGCCCCCACAAAAAGGCAAAGTACAAGTACTGGTCTCTATTCAGATAAAGCACACTCCCTTCTAGTGCCCGTAGGGGCACTAGGAACCCAAAGGAGGCAGAGAAGAGAGATGGCCAGGTGCTCAAAGAGGAGCATGTTATGCCATCCCAAGAGAGTCAGAGAGGAAGGGTGAACCAGTGTTTCGGTCCTTGGGACTTGAGACAATGGGCAGTCATTTAGGGATAGTGTGTTAATGGTATGTAGGTACTTAATGATGCACATAGGCAGCCACTGGAATTCATAATGGCACATAAAGCAAGCTAGGTGCCTAATTTTCATTGACTTTACTGAAGCTTAGGCACCCCAACTCACTTTGGAACTTTTAAAACTCGTGTTAGGCATAACAAATCCCCATCCTGGACCCCGACCACCAGGCCTGCAACTATATAAATAGGAAAGGGTGCTTTTCAATGGTCCTGCAGGCCCTCGTGGACCAATAGGGTGGCTTCAAGGACATTAACATTGGCTGGTTGTGGAAGGTGCATGATGATTGTATATTCTGGCCAACTCACTTTGGAACTTTTAAAACTCGTGTTAGGCATAACAAATCCCCATCCTGGACCCCGACCACCAGGCCTGCAACTATATAAATAGGAAAGGGTGCTTTTCAATGGTCCTGCAGGCCCTCGTGGACCAATAGGGTGGCTTCAAGGACATTAACATTGGCTGGTTGTGGAAGGTGCATGATGATTGTATATTCTGGA